GTAGCAGCAGCAGTAGCAGTAGTAGCAGTAGTAGTAGTAGCAGTAGTAGTAGTAGTAGCCGCAGCAGTAGCAGCAGCAGTAGCAGTAGTAGTAGTAGCAGCAGCAGTAGCAGTAGTAGTAGTAGCAGCAGTAGCAGTAGTAGTAGTAGCAGCAGTAGTCGCAGTATCAGTAGCAGCAGCAGTAATAGCAGCAGCACCAGCAGCAGCACACACCACAGCAGCAGCAGTAGCATCAGCACCACCACCACCAGCAGCAGCAGTAGCAGCAGCACCACCACCAGCAGCAGCAGTAGCAGCAGTAGCAGCAGTAGCAGCAGCAGCAGCAGCAGCACTACCACCAGCACCAGCAGTAGCAGCACTACCACCACCAGCAGCAGCAGCAGCAACAGCAGCAGCAGCAGCAGCAGCAGCAGCAGCAACAACACCACCACCAGCAGCAGCAGCACCACCACCACCACCACCACCAGCAGCAGCAGCAGCAGCAGCACCAGCAGCACCAGCAGCAGCAGCAGCACCACCACCACCACCACCAGCAGCAGCACCAGCAGCAGCAGCACCACCACCAGCAGCAGCAGCAGCACCACCACCACCACCACCAGCAGCAGCAGCAGCAGCAGCAGCACCACCACCAGCAGCAGCAGCAGCACCACCACCACCACCACCAGCAGCAGCAGCAGCAGCAGCAGCAGCACCACCACCAGCAGCAGCAGCAGCACCACCACCACCACCACCAGCAGCAGCAGCAGCAGCAGCACCACCACCACCAGCAGCAGCAGCAGCATCAGGGTTAAGCCAGTATAAGCTCGCTGCACGGCTTCCTCTGCGGTCGTAACTACACGTTACTAACAAAGCTAGAGATAAAATGTCAATCAGTGCGGTTGATTCAACACAGCTGCGGCTCGCACCGCGCGCCGGCAAGCGAAATTTTTTTTCCCACTTGAGTTCCGGACCCACCATAGATAGTGTTTTGTAATAAATGGTTCTTATATATATGGTTGGATTATAATTAGTGTAAGGGTTCATGTACGGGTTAGTGTTAGGGTTAGAGTTAGGGTTAGCAGGTATTAATTTTACATTGTTGCTTCGAGGAAGTCGAGTGAATGGAGTGCGCTGATTGGCTGTGGTCCGGAACTCAAGTGGGGAAAAAAAATTTTCGCAAAAACTTTTGCGCTCCGACAAGCGGCGCAGCTGTGCGAAGTCTACTGCGTGTACGTCTGTACGTGTCACCTTGTATCAACATGTCACACCGTGTGTACATGTCACCAATGCGGTGACAGTGTACATGTCATAAATTGTCCACATGTCACCCATGCGGTGACAGTGTACATGTCACCAAGTGTCCACATGTCACCCATGCGATGACAGTGTGCATGTCACCAAATGTCCACATGTCACCCATGCGGTGATAATGTATATGTCACCAAATGTCCACATGTCACCCATGCGGTGATAATGTATATGTCACCCCGGGGGATTCCATGACACAGACAGTTACAATAACCTGCCGTAGCGGGTGAGCTAGTGACGTCATCTACACAGACAATCTTTACTTGGGTTTGACACATAGAGACTGACATTTGACATAACGACTCTAGAATAATATAGAAACTCTATTATAAATAAGATATAATAAAAATAAATATATAAATAAAAATAAATAATAAATTATAGAACTCTAGACTATAGAATAATATAGACTCTAACTAGTAGATTATTTATTACTATTATTAATTATTTAACTAGTATATTATTTCAATGGTTTTACATCGCTGGGTGAATGTTTGTGATGATGGTGTTGCCCGCTATCTCATTGTATTCTTCTCTATTATTATTATTATTATTATTATTATTATTATTATTATTATTATTCGCTACATAGTGATGTGAAGGTATGTTGCTCCACGCTGACTGATCCAGCATGACGCACTTTTCGCAGACGAGTTCCATGACGTCGCATGACGTTGCACAAATTACGTCTTACGTCATCTTTAGGCTATTTTTATTTTTTTTATCATTGTAATATTAGGGTTTTACTTTATAACCAATTGCATTTGTTTGTTGCAGCCACGTGGGTGGGAGGAGGTTACATTAATGGAACAGCCGAGGCCGTGTTTACATCCGGGATAGTGTGGTGTCAAGCTCCTTTCGGCTATGCGCTTAGCTTAGTGTTCGGTGAGTAACAGTTCTTTATAATTAATTAATATATAATTATTAGTTGGTGATTTATTCCGTACATCGCCATACCAGCGTTTGTCATATGACACTGCGGTAATAAGAGAAAGAGAAACAGAAAGAGCGACAGGAAAAGAGAGGGAAATAGAGAGAGCGAAAGAGCGAGAGAGCGAAACAGAAAGCGAGTGAAAGAGAGAGAGCGAGAGATCGAAAGGGAAAGAGAGGGAAAAAGCGAGCGAAAGAGCGCGAGAGAGCGAAAAAGAGAGAGAGAAGGATAGGTAAATAGATGGATAGATAGATAGATAGATAGATAGATCGATAGATAGATA